CCGGTAACCAGTGCGTCTTGGAGAGAGAAGAGGAGACCTCCTGGGGATCATTGAAGGCAATGAAACGGAACTGGAAGATGTACTTGATGATAATGATCACCTGAAAGGCAAGAAGAGGAGAAATGCAGAAAGTCGCATGCCTTGAGCAGACGATGATGTAGGCGTGCTTGTTGTTAAGCAGCCCGACAGTAGGCTGTATATCCCGTTTATGAATTGGTGATGCTCTTGAGGTAAAGTATGTTAACTGCGAGTGTACCGGTGGAAAGTATGAGACGACTATAAATGTGATTGGTCGCATATTCCAAAGTACTTGTGATGGACTTTACGGAAAATGACAAGAGACTGCAATTACCATTTCTGGCTTACTAGCTGTCATCAGTCAACGATACCCAACCTCAGGTCTCGCAATATCTGAGGCTCGAACTCGTAATGCGATCGATGACCACACAGTTGTATACAGAATGCACCAAAGAACGTTATCTTACACACGCATTGGAATATCTTGTACGGAGGCTCCTTGTGAATAAGAAACATGTAGATGAAAAAAACTGGCAAAATATGGGTCAGAATAATATACTACTTACTGAAGGTTGCATCAGAAAAAAAATTGACAAGTACATTGGACGAAAGCAAAGGCGACTGGCAGGCAAGACAGCTGAGCTTTTGCTTAAATGACTTTTAAAAAATAAAACCCTTCGTTCTTCCATTAAGCAACATCTTCTAGCTAGCGGCCACCTTAACGACGTCAAAACAGGCTTCTGACAAGAACAATTGGGATCTAGCATTACGTGTCTACAGCCTACTAGCTGCGTGAGAAACCCGGCCTATCCGAACAGCCGGGCTACGTGGTCAACCCCAAATTTCCCTGGAAACTATCAAGCCTTGGAGTTAACCATGCTCCATTTAGCCTGTTTATTTTCCCCTCTTATCTTTCCTGCCTTGCGGTTTTAAGTTCCCGGCTCCTTACTGAATATTATCTGTGCAATAAACAATGGCCTTGCTGGTGTGTATCGAGTTTCTGTGCAAGTGCAACTGGCTGTGTACTGCCTATTCGTTACTTGCGTTATGCAGTTGATACGTTGTCATCAAATTTGTTCTTTTCGATAAATTCAGTTGCCTGCGCGGTGACTACAGTTGGATTATAGTGAAAGTAAACTCGCCATATCTACCCCACTCTCTAACCATTCCCACACCTGCCTCCGATGTGAAGACAAAAGTCGAGAAGACCTCAGATGGGGGAGGGTGCAGGCAGTGTGCGCGAAACACACTGAAACACGTGTCACAGCAACACCACTTTGCTATATAGACTGCGGTGTGGGAGCGTCACATTAAGAAGGGGCCATTGCAGCCTGACTCTCAGCCCACAGTCGGACGCTCCACACAACAAGACACACACTGGGCTGACTGCGGTTTCCAAGTTATCCCGTCA